TTTGATCGAGGTGGAATCTCATCTCTTCTCTCGTTCTGGTTGGCCATGAAGGCTTTAAACATCTCCATAGCACTGTTGACTGCATTAAACAACTGACTCACCTCTGGAGATATAGTTGTCTGAGCCGGAGCTGCTGTTGGGGGCGGCACTGGATCCTGAGTTACTGGATCATCATGCTCCACCCCTTCTTCATGTTCAACCCGGGGTACTTGAACCCCCTTTGTGGATTTACCCTTCCTTTTCTGAGTTGGAGCCTTTTTAGTTCTGCCTTGAGCCATAATAGTAGCAATAGTTTCTTGAGTATCATCCTGAGTGTCGGTGTCAGAGTTGCGAGTACGAGCCATTTCTGCGAGTTTTGAAGAAATGAGTACATTAGATAATTTCTTAGAGGTAGGATCTACTGCACGATCTAAAGTATGAGAAAAATCAGACTTTTCCTAAATGCTTGTAGCCTCTTGTTTATAAGTATGGCGCGCTTCTTACCCATAAATAAGACTCTACTAACACGGTTTCATAGACCCCTAGGACTCCATAAACCAGAGGCTCTGATACCAAGTTTGTCACGGCCCATTTTCTAAACAAGCCGGGACCGGTACCCGATCACTAAACATGATCGAGCGAACCATCTGCGCTTATCAAATCTATTATAGCTTTAAATTTTTATATGCCACAAGGCACTACTGCAACCAAATACCTTTAAATAATTTAAATATCTAAAACAAGCCAACTTCAAAACTTTATTTATAATAACCAATAAAATACTGCTAAGTTATTATAAAAAAATATCTGAATCTTAACCCACCGACTATGTCTATAAAGCCTCTACTGGTAAACTGATGCACTGCTCAGGACATGAGATTTCCTGGCCAGTTCTCTAAGTAACCAAAGAAATAGCTAAATAAAAATGACTCTAAGGAATACTCCACGAACAAAAGCGGAGCTCATCAAAGCATTGGAAGAGACAGAAGTCCTAACTCGTAGCCTGCTCGCCTGCAAAACCGGTTCCGACGTTGTACCGCAGACCAACGTAGGTTCCCAAAAGAGAACGTCAGTACCATCCATTGTACTCATGTCCAAACACAACTCTAATTTTTAAATACCGTTTTCACTTGGAATTTTACAATTCTTATGTCCAAACGCCCACTAAAATTATTCATTTCTCTGTTCTTTGTTTTCATAAAAATAGGTACCATCCATTGTACCACCACTTGAGGAGCCACATGAAGATCAACCCGCTTTACCTGAATCCACTGAAGAAGTGCCTGAACCGGTGGGAGTGAGAAAATCCTCAAGAGTTCGAAAACCAGCAATTTCTAGTGACTATGTTGTATATCTCCAAGTGCCTGATTATGATATTGGACTAAAAGATGATCCATGCTCGTTTTCACAAGCCATGAGTGGAGAAAACTCCACACTTTGGTATGATGCCATGAAAGAAGAGTTAGAATCTATGGCAAAAAACAAAGTCTGGGATCTCGTCGAATTACCAAAGGGGTCCTTTACCATAGGTTCCAAGTAGGTCTTTAAAACTAAAAGAGACTCATCTGGTAATATCGAACGATATAAAGCTTGACTTGTAGCCAAGGGTTTTACTCAAAGGGAAGGCATTGATTACCATGAAACCTTCTCTCCAGTATCAAAGAAGGATTCATTGAGAATAGTCATGGCATTAGTAGCTCATTTTGATTTAGAGTTACATCAAATGGATATGAAAACAGCCTTCCTAAATGGAGATATTGAAGAGGAAGTATACATGCGTCAGCCTGAAGGATTTTGTGATAAGGACAAAAGTCACCTTGTTTGCAAGTTGAATAAATCCATTTATGGGCTAAATCTGGCTTCCCGCCAATGGTATATTAAATTTCATAATGTTTTTTCTTCTTTTGGATTTACGGAGAACATCATTGATCAGTGTATATACCTTAAGATAAGTGGGAGCAAATATATTTTTCTAGTCCTATATGTGGATGATATTTTGCTTGCAAGTAGTGATTTAGGACTGTTGCACGAGATTAAACAGTTCCTTATCCAGAATTTTGAGATGAAGGATATGGCTGAAGCCTCTTATGTCATTGGCATAGAGATTCACAGAGACAGATCCCAAAGATTACTTGGACTGTCTCAAAAGGCCTACATTGAAAGAATTCTGAAAAGATTCGGGATGAAGAACTGTTCACCTATAGCAGCACCCATAATTAAAGGTGACAAATTCTCATTAAATCAATGTCCACAAAATGCATTGGAAAAGGAGCAAATGAAAGATATTCCCTATGCTTCACTTGTTGGAGTCTTATGTATGCACAGGTCTGTACTAGACCTGATATTGTTTCTGCGGTAGGAATGCTTGGTTGATATCAAAGTAACCCTAGTCTTGACCATTGGAAAGCTGGTAAAAAGGTCTTGAGATATTTGCAAGGAACCAAGGATTTTAAGCTCACATACAAATACTCTGACTCATTGGAGGTGATTGGATATTCAGACTCTGATTTCAGGATACATTTCCCTTCTTGCTAGAGGTGTTGTGTCTTGGAGAAGTGTCAAGCAGACCATTGTTGCAACATCCACAATGGAAGCTGAATTTATAGCATGCTATGAAGCTACATCACATGCGTTATGGTTGAAAAACTTTATTTCCGGCCTTAGGATTGTCGATTCCATTTCAAGGCCATTGAGAATCTTATGTGAAGATTCAGCTGCAGTGTTCTTCTCTAAGAACAATAAAAGTGGCAACCGAAGCAAGCACATTGACATAAAGTACTTGATGGTTAGAGACTATGTGAAGAAGCAAGATGTGAATTTTGAGCATGTTAGTACTACTTTGATCATTGCTGATCCTATTACTAAAGGTCTGCCGGCTAATATTTTCAAGGATCATGTAACCCATATACGGCTTGGTAGCTCAATTTAGTCTTGCTTTGCTCTCTAACAGTTTGTCAAGATATTATGTTTATTTTGATATACATGACAGTGCACACTTTTGGTTTTTCATTATTATTTGTGATCATTGGATCAATAAGTTGGACTCTGAATGACTTATATTAAGTTCATTCATAAAGTTGTTAGACACTTTGTTGGAATGTATTGTGCATTGTAATACATGGAAGGAAGTGTTTGTTTAAAAGCATGACCGCCATGATTCGTGTAATAATATATTCTAGTTAAAGTGATTGGTTGCATAATTTTTAGTTGACTGATAATGTCTATGGCCATATTAATATGTTTATCTCTCATAAAAGATTATCTGATTTAATATGTGGGCCAAGTGGAAGAATGTTAGAAATTTACCATCTCTTCTAGAGACTTCTAGTGTGGCCCACATATAAGGTAATAAATAATTTACCTTGTCTCCCAAAGAAAATAATATATCAGATAATATTCAGTAGTTATGCATATATGGTAGTTTCTTTGATGGAAATAAATTACCATATATTATGAGTCCCTAAGGTAATTATAATTTGTGGAGAAGTCCCTAGGGCTAAAGTATTTGCCTAAGAGTCCCTAGCCTACCTATAAATACGCTTGTGACTCCATCAAACTGGCATCCTACGATAGGCACAGGCTAGAAGGCTCTCTAGGTTTTCTGCTAAAGGTTTCAAAGGCGATTCCCTACAACGCTTGAACAACAATGGCCGAAGGTACGTTCCTTGTTTAATTTCCCCTGCGTTGGCTCTGTGTATGTGTTTATATTTCAACAGCTACTGCTTTCATATGAAATTTCATGTTTATACATCAGGTATACCATAAAATACGGACACATCAAAACATACTCCCTCTGTTTCAGTTTATGTGAACCTATTTCCTTTTTGGTCTGTTCCAAAAAGAATGACCCCTTTCTAAATTTGGTAACAATTTAGCTTAAACTTACAATTTTACCCTTATGAGAAGCTTTTATAACCACACAAATACTCTGAGCCCCTTTTGACTTGTTTAGGACCACAAATTTCAAAAGTCTTCATTTTTTCTTAAACTTCGTGCCTAGTCAAACAGTTCACATAAAATTGAACGGAGGGAATAACTTCTATGGTTAATAACTAGACAAGTACTAGTAATATCTAGTAAAGGGCATACAAAAACTAAGAAAGCAGGTGCAAAAATGAAATGACGAAAGAGCTAAGCTAAGAGAATAATTGAGTGAAGAAGGAGAAGTTGAAAGTAACACATACATACATATATAAATACATGAGCCCTTTATGCTGTCAGTGCTGAGTTTGATCTCTACGTTAAGAAAGATACATACTTAGCCTGTTGCCAATAATTGGCCATGGCTTTGGACCTGGTGGACGCGCGGTTCCCCCTACAGCTTCTTTTATTCACAAATTTGGAAATTTAAGCTACTGCTGCTTGGTATTCGTATTAGTTGAAATGGGTAAACGTACTCACAAAGGAAAGAATGGTCTTTACATGAAAATGAAAGATTGCTAATTCATTATTAAAGATAATATTGCAGAATTAAAAAAGTGACATAAATTTATAGCAGATCATGAATGAACCATTCAAAATATGTATCATAGTTTTTTTTTTTTTTGGGTAATAATGTATCATAGTTATATAGACGAATCATTCCAATTAATAAAAAAAGCTTTGGCAAACTGATTGAACCACGTGATATATATATATATATATATATATATATATATATATATATATATATATATATATATATATATATATATATAAATATTGAGTCGTGACAAAAACAAAAGGACAGATTATAATTTCAATAGAAAATGTGATAATTAAGCTCTTGACCTACGGACATCACTGCTTGGATATAAACCATATATATATGTCAGCAATTCTTTTAAAATTTATGAAAGTAGTAATCAAAAATTGTATAGTCAAAATAGTTTAATTAAAATAAAAAGGAAAGCTAACAAAAGGACAGGCTATAATTTCAAAAGAAAATGTGAAATTGTAACCACTACCACTCCTCCGTTTAAATTAGAATTTTCTTACTAGCTGGAAGCAACATTGTTCTTTTTTTAAATTAAACATAAAATATAGCAAGTGGAAAGCCATTTCTCGGTGGCTATTTCAAGTTTCTAATTTGTATATGAGTATTAGTTGACCAAAGGGTGAGATCTGTGAGAACTTTGAAGTTCTTTTATAGTTTGCCTCTTCAGGACATGAAATACTGAAACAATTATCTGATATTTTTGATATAAGTGGAGCCACTCTCAACTTCAATTTCAATTTCTTAAGTGTACTGATGATTTCCCGGCGTAGGTCGTGACTTTCCACCTCCAGCTACTTTAGCAGTTTTACGGTGAGTTTTCTCGCAGAAAGTTAAAGGAAACCAAAGGAACAATTTTCTCTATCTTACATGAACATGAAACTTCCATAATATTTTCATCAATTTATTATGAACTTGGAACTTCAAAATATTTCCTTAGTTCCCAATCTTGGACGTTGAAGGCAACTCTACAACTTCGTCCACCTTTCCCTCTTTCTTCTATTTATCTTTCTATTTTTATAAATAAAAAAATTAAAATAATTAACTGATTAGCAAAAGAAAGGCAAAGTTTTTCTTGTGGTAAATTTAATGCTAAATTCAGGTTAAAATATCCTGGTATAGCCAGTTTTCACACTGGTCAATGAAAAATAGCCAGCGTTTATCAAGTCAATGAAAAATAGCCACTATTTTGCTGCAACAGGGACCGGTCCAGTATAATATACGGGAGTTCTGGTGCATTTGTGTAGGAACTCCAGCATATTATGCTGGACCGGTATACTTTGCTAACTCCTGTAAAATTTGCGGGAGACTGGAGCACCAGTGCTCCAAACTCCAGTATATTATACTGGACAATTATACTTGCTGGAACTCCCGTAAAATTCGCGGGCGTATTTTTCCGGATTTTGAACAGTGTTTTCGCTCAGATTTAAAGTGGCTAAATTTCGATGACTTTTGAAACTTGGCTATTTTTCAACGACCAGTGGTAAATCTAGCTATTTTTGAATTTCTCCCTAAATTCAGTCCTTTTAAAATGTAATTAACCTTTTGCAAAATTATTAGTATTTGCTTGCTTATATGGGCGTATATTTTAAAGATACTTCCATCCTAAGATGGAGAGATATGTATTGCTCCCCCGTTTCAATTTATGTGAACCTGTTTGACTGAGCACGGATTTTAGGAAAAAACGAAAACGTTTTGAATATATGGTCCTCTAAACAATGCAAAAAGGGGCCCAGAGTATTTGTGTGGTTATAAAAGCTTCTTATTAAGGGTAGAATTAGAAGTTTAAGCTAAATTGTTTCCAAATTTAAAAAGGACTCATTCTTTTTTGAACGGACCAAAAAGGAAATAGGTTCGCATAAACTGAAACGGATGCGGTACTAAAGTTAAAGGGAGGAATAAATGGAACAATATACTCACACACACTTGTAAAGAGGGGCTGAGTATAAATTGGTGGTCTGGTGGCCTTTAGACCCATAAGACTTTACATATGGACTACTTTATTACTAATATTATTTTTTTGGTTTGGATTCTTTCTCTAAATTATGAAGAATGTTAATGTTGTTTTGATTTCTTTTATGAAGGTGACAGAGCTATAACTCAAGGCAGTTAGATTATAGTTACCATAATCGTGTGAAAGACACCAATTAGCGATAGTTTTCAATTTCAACAATTGAGATGGAGGTTGTCGAGACATGTGGAAAAGGAAGTCTTTCTTCTGCAGAGCCATCCACAAAACATAGTTTTCCATCAACTGATGAGGAAGTTGTGGGATTTGTGAAAGATGCAGAAAGTATAATGAAGAAATTGACTGGTGGAACAAAGGAGCTAGATGTTATCTCAATCTTTGGAATGCCAGGTCTCGGAAAAACAACTTTGGCCAAGAAAGTGTACGACAATCCTTCTATAGTTAATTACTTTGATGTTAAAGCTTGGTTTTCTGTTTCGCAAGCATATAAAAGGAGGACGTTGTTGATTGACATTTTCAAACAAGCAACACGTGATAAGAGCGAAATCAAAGAGGATGTTGACATAGCTGACAAGTTGCAAAAGACTCTAAAAGGTAGGAGATACCTCATTGTATTAGATGATATATGGGATATCGATGCATGGGAAGATTTGGGGTTATGTTTCCCGAAGGGTGAAGATGGAAGTAGAGTAATGGTGACAACTCGAATTGAAGAGGTGGCTAAGCATCTTCAGCACAACGGTGATCCTTATTCTCTTAGATTTCTTACATTGAAAGAGAGTTGGGAATTATTGCAGAGGAAAGTATTTCGAGGAGAGAGTTGTCCACCTGATCTACTGGAAGCAGGGTTACAAGTGGCGGAACATTGTAAGGGATTGCCTCTTGTGATTGTACTGATTGCTGGAATTATTGCGAAAATGGAAAGGAAGGCGCCCTTGTGGCTGGAGGTTGCAAATGACCTAAGTTCCCTTGCGTTAGGAGAGCAAGGTATGCAGGTAATACAATCGAGTTATGACCATTTAGAAAACCACTTAAAGCCTTGTCTTCTTTACATGGCATTGTATCCAGAAGACTATAAGATTCCAGTGTCTGACTTGCTAAAGTTATGGATGGCTGAAGAGTTTATAGAGAATATTGACACAGAGAATCTAGAGGAAACATCTAGAATTTTCTTGAATGATCTACTTAAGAGAAGCCTAGTGATGGTCTCTGGCCGACAGCGAATTAATGGTGCCATAGAATACTGCTCACTTCATGATTTAGTGCGTGAGTTTTGTTTGAAAAGACTTGCAGAAGAAAAGTACTTTATGCAGCTCGCAGTGCCACACAGTTCAAACCAACAATCGTATTCCAAGGAATCACGGTTATGCATTTATATTCATGATGAACTTGTTAAACAATTAGATCATTATGAATATCGGTTGGATAAGATTCCAATGTTCGAGTCCAAGCAGTTAGATTATTATGAGTATCAGCTGGACAACATTCCATTGGTCAAGTCCAAGGAAACAAAGCGTTTTGGTCAATTTTCAGAGTTTTTTCAGTTCATTGCTCATCCAAAATCCAACATATGGAACCCAGCAGATTCTTTGCATTCACTTGTTAAATTAAGATTTGTTCAGGCATTGCAATTGAATGGAAGGGAATTGCCAAGTTCTTGGGTTAAGGCAGTACAATCACTAACTCACTTGAGGTACCTTGCAATTTGTGTTGAAAAATTTGATTTCAAGTGGGTATCACACCTACGCTATCTCCAAACTCTAGTGGTAGATTATTCAAGATATCCATTCAGGACATCGACTGCTGCATTCTGGAAAATGACAAAGCTAAGGCATGTGAAGATAAACTCATTTATGTTTACAGGCGATTGGGATGCTAAAACTGGTCGACCAATTTTAGAAGAACCTTCAGAAAGTACGCTCTTGAAGACATTGTGCACTTGTCGTGTTGCTGTGAGCAATGCGGCTCAGAAGGTCTGGTGGAGGTGTCCGAATCTTGAAGAACTCAGCCTCGATATTATAAGTGTACCTAGTTGTTCTTTGTTTCCGATACCAGAACTTCATACTCGGCTTCAATCTCTTAAACTAGATGCCGAACTCTCATATGAAGAAAAATATTCAGTCGAATGGTCCAGCTACGTTGTCTTCCCTTCAAATCTTAGGGAGTTGTGCATTCGCAACATGTTTCTAACGGAAGAAATAGTTTCAAATATTGCAAGACTGCAGAATCTTGAGAGTCTCGAAGTATATAGAGGATATCTTGTGGCGAAAGATCAGACTTTAGACGTCAGATATGTCGAGTTCCCTGCACTCAAATTCTTGAAATTATTTGTGCTCTTTATGGAAGAATGGAAAGCTTTAGAGGAATCCTTTCCCGTGCTTCAGAAGCTAGTCATAAAAGGTTGTTACTCCCTCGAGGCGATCCCGCCTAGCTTTGCCAATATTCCAACACTCCAACTTATTGAAGTGGAAAACTGCATGGACTCTGTTGGGGATTCAGCTAGGAATATTAAAAGAGAAATAGAAGAAAACACAGGCTGTGACACTCTCCAACTTCTTATATCATAGGACTACTAAAGCTGGTAAGTCATTTCAGCAACTCTTTGCTCTATCTCATATGGGAAACAATTTTTAGTAGCTTCCGAGTTCCGTCCTGCATTACAAATTTTAGTAACTTGTGTCTTGCATTCTGAAATTCAACTCTATACTCGGCATTACTATTTATATCATACTTGAGCAACATTTGGGAAAGTATAATACTCCCTCCGATCACAATAAGTGACCAATTTGCCTTTTTATTTTGATCCAAAATAAGTGTACATTTATATAATCAAGAAAAAATTCAATTTATTTTTCCAAAATTACCCGTATGTACGTATACCTAAAAAGTCTTTTACTCCTCACATTAAACATTCTGCAACATTTAATTAAGGGTAATTTAATCACACTAATTATTTTTGTCTAGAATTTAGTATTTCTTTAATAGGTGTGCCCAAGACAAATTGATCACTTATTGTGGATCGGAGGGACTAGTTTAATGATTCTCATATATCCTTATTAAAATGACTCCTAGTAGTAACTTATAGCATAGTGGGCACTCTCTTTGAGGAAGAATTTAATTAAACAATACTCCCTCCGTTCACTTTTACTTGGCATGTATATTAAAAATAGATTTTCATTTTTACTTGTCAATTTACACATATCAAGAGGAGACAAATTTTTTTTCCTGTTATACCCACAATATTTATTGCTCATTTCAAATCATTTTCTCAAATTCAATAAAATATGCATCAATTAATATGGGTATCATGGTAAATTATGCACTTTATTTATTACTCCCTTCGGTCCACAGTAAGTGATTTTTTGGCCTTTTATTTGTGGTCCAAAATAAGTGATTTTTTCAAATTTCAAGAATGAATTAATTACTTTTTTCCTACATTGCCCTTGGAGTAAATAATGTTAGAGTATGTGTTAGGAGTGTTTATGTGAAGAGATAGTAAAGGTTAATATAGTCAATTGCAATGCTAATTAATGTTAAAATGTGAGTTTCTTAATATGTGTGAAGACAACCAAAAAATTACTTATTTTGGACCGGAGGATTATTTCTTAAGGGGCGTGAAAAATCAAAACGTACCAAGTAAAAGTCAATGGAGGGAGTAGTATCATTATTCATTCATACAACTTTTTTGGCATTTTTACAGTTTTCTCTCAATCGTTTGACATTTAATTTGTAGATGCAGCTTTTTTGCAATAATGGACTTCATTTTCCTAACATTTGCAGACTCCGACATATCCATTTCCTCGGGTCTGCGACCTTCTCAACAGAGGAGACAAAGTAGCTCAACCATTCTTATATTTTGTTCTGCGCCATAGCTGAGCATTTGTTAAAGGGATTCTTCTGATTTGTGGATGGCTTCTTCCTGAACTAATTATTTCCAGCTCAGAATGCAATTAAGCCAACTATGAACTAATGTATGTATGTTTCTTCAATCTTATAATGTTGTTATAAGGATAGTCGTCAGTATGTTTAGTCAGTCAGACTAAATTAAACATACTCAGGAGCTCAATTCGAACAAATTAGGAATTATCATACCAACAAATCAGCAGCAACAGACTTAATATGTAGTACTGTATTCATTAAAAAAAAAAAAAAACATAGACAGTGAGGACCGTTGGAACACTAATTAACAGTTCACCATGTTTTAATGGGTTATATAGTAAAATTTTCAATGGAGTGAATAGTTAAGAGTAAACTAGTGATGGGGATCAAATGCTTGTTTTGCTTATCGTCCTGTTCTTGGACACAAAATCTGACCTTAAATCGTCCTGTTAAATCTGCATAGTACCTAGGTGAGCTTTGTGATGATCACGAATCATGCATGTGACTAGAATAAGATACATTAAGTTTACTCCAATAATTGGCCATGGCTTTGGACCAGGTAGAGGGTCCCCAGAGGCGGATCCAGGATTTAAATCCTATGGGTTCAACTTTTGAAGTTTTTAGCGTTGAACCCAATATATATTTAAAGTTATGGATTCGTATCTACTATTTTTACAATTTTAATAACTTTTTACATATAATTTTTTACTCCGCATCGAAAGTTATGGGTTCAATTGAACCCGTCAACGATGCACTACATCCGCCTCTGACCCCCCCCCCCCCCCCCAAGAGCTTCTTTTATTCACAAATTTTGAAAGACAATATCATTAGTCACCCTTATCTCTCCTATAACAATCCTTATCACTCCGCCCTGACAATATCATTAGCCACCCTTATCTCTCCTATAGCCACCATTATCTCTCCTATAGCCACCCGTATCACTCCGCCCTGACAATATTCATAGCCACCCTTATCTCTCCTATAGTCACCCATATCACTCCGCCCTGACAATATTAATAGCCACCCTCTATAGCCACCCGCATCACTCCGTATAATAGTCACCCTTATCACTCCGTATATTCAACAATGGTGAAATGCTACCTTTATACTCCACATAACAACAACGGTGAAATGCCACCCTTATACTCTACATGACAACAATCAAACCACATAACAATTCACACGTGCTATTATCACAATAACACAACATAATCCACTCGTATCACAATTGCCTGTGGGCCACAACCTTTCAAAGAATTCAACGATACCAATAATTTTCTCAACAATTAGCCACGGCTCAACAAAACGTGTACAGAATCCCAACAACAACAACATGAATTTAAAGTAACTCAGCAAGGAACAACATCTCCTTTAATCACAACTTCAGGTAAATAGATTAGTGTCTCTTGATAACTTAAATTCCCATTTAATTATTTGAAGATAAAAATCAACAATGAAAGTTTCTCCACGAAATGGCAATTTAACAATAAAAGAATTCACTAAATGGTCAAAGTGGTAATAAATCGAAATAAGCATATAAGATAAACTCGGCAAGTAAAGAATGAGACATATGACAACAATTTTCAGTTAATTACATAAAAGAAGCCTAAGAGTTTAAACCGATAGAATTTGCACATATAAGCCTGAGTACGCAGTCATCACCTCGCGTACACGGTTTCACATTACACAAACGACTCAATGTCTAAGGGGTAATTCCCCCACACAAGGTTAGGCAAGATACTTACCTTAACGAAGTTAGGCCGATACTCTAAAATGACCTTCTCGCGTGAAACAACCTTCGGACGACTCAAATCTAGTCAAAATAATTTCATAACATAATTAAAACTCATAGGAAATAATTTCGGATAATAAAACTTTAATTTTTAATTGAAAACTAAAAAAGTCAATTTGAAAGTCATCGCGAGGCATGTACCTCGGAACCCGATAAAATTTCACGAAATTCGAATACCCATTCCGATACGAGTCCAACCATACCAAAACTATCAAATTCCGATAACAAATCACCCTCCAAATCCTCATTTTACATTTTTTAAAGATCTAACAAATTTCTCAATTTCTTCCATTTGATTCACTAATAAATGATAAAATTACTCATGGAATTACGAAATATAAATCAATTTCGGTTAAGGAACATGTCACGACCCTAAACCCAGACCCGATCGTGATGACGCCTCTCGTGAAGACAAGGCCAGCCGACACATTTCCAATTCGAAGTTAAACAGCTAAACAACAATAAAACAGGCTAAAACATGATTTAATAATACTAAGTACCAGATAATATCATAACAATGCGGAAGTACAACCCAAACACAGCCCAAACCGGGGTGTCACTAGTCATGAGCATCTACTAAGGTCTAAATACAACTGACAAAGTCTGAAATGTACTAAGTACAGACTAATAGAATAAAGAAGGAGAAAAGCAGTGCTGCGAACGCCGGCAGCTACCTTGCTAAACTCCGATGACTCTGCCTCCGATCAACCAATACCCGCTACGGGGTNTACGGACTTACTCGTGCGATCAAATCGCCAAAATAACATCATATACATAGAATCAAGCCTCAAATCACATGATTTCTTCCAACTTTTCATAAAACATAAATTTTCCATTTTTAAGTCCGAAACACGTCAAATGACGTCCGTTTTCAACCAAATTTTATAGAAAGCGCTTAAATCACATATAAGACTTGTACCGGGCGTCGGAACCAAAATACGAGCCCGATACCATAGTCTTCTGATCAAATTTCCTTTCCATTTTCCTTAATTACTTTCAGAAAACAATTTCACACAAAAATTCATTTCTCGGGCTTGGGACCTCGGAATTCGATTCCGGGCATACGCCAAAGTCCCATATTTTCCTACGGACCCTCTGGGACCGTCAAATCACGGGTCCGGGTCCGTTTACCCAAAATGTTGACCAAAGTCAACTTTAATCATATTAAGATCAAAATTCATCAATTTTTACACAGAATTCATATTTAAGTTTTCCGGCTACGCGCCCGGACTACGCACGCAAATCGAGGAGACTAAAAGTGAGGTTTTCAAGGCCTCGGAAGCGCGGAAAGGAGAGAAAATAGGTGATGACCCTTTGGGTCGTCACATCATATCAATATCAAGCCACCTCGTGGCGTACAATCTCAGGCCCTCGGCCTCATAATCAAAATCAGTATATCACCGCTGTGGTGTGCAGCCCGACCCAAAAGATATCCTCACAACACAAGCCCTCGGCCTTACTCAGTCAAAATCACATAAGCCTCTCGGGCAACAGTAAAACAGTGTTTCTCAGCCCAAACATCATTTAAATATCATTTGAGTATTAAAACTGAGTGAACATGGCTGAGTTTTGAAAATAGTGGAAAATAACATGACTGAGTTCAAGTATAAAGTCAAAACAGTGAGAAAATATCAACAAAAATTCCCGAAGGGTTCAAATAATTGGCACGAAGCCCAAATATGGCATTCAGCCCAAATAATAATGATAGCAAATAGATTTAGTCAAATACGCGAAAAAATCATCAATCGGGACGGACCAAGTCACAATCCCCAATAGTGCACGACCCCACGCTCATCATCAAGCGTGTGCCTCACCTCAATATAGCACTACGATGTGCAATCCGGGGTTTCAAACCCTTAGAACATCATTTACAATCATTACTCACCTCGAACCGGTCAAATCTCTAGCTCGCGACGCCTTTGCCCCTCGAATCGGCCTCCACTCGCGTCGAATCTATTCACAATCAGAACGAGGACGTCAAAATAGGCTAAGGGAACGAAGCCCAAGCGAAAATAATCAACAATTAGCACAAACCCCGAAATTACCAAAACCCGACCCCCGGGCCCACGTCTCGGAATCCGATAAAATTAACATCAATGGGATCCTCATCCTCTCACGAGTTCATACATATCAAATTTACCAAAATCTGACCTCATATGGTCACTCAAATCCTAAAATTCACTCTCCTATTTCAAGCCCTAAATTCCCAACTCTTCCTCTAATTTCCCACAAATTTTCATGATTAAACAATGATATAATCACCAATAACACAAGGTATAAAGCCCAAGTAGCTTAACTCTGTGGATACACTTGATCCCCTCTTGAAATCACAGCTTGGAGCTCCAAAATCGCACAAAAATGGTGAACAAAAAGATTGAAAATCGCGAAGGGGCATTTTTATACATTCTGCCCAGCACTTCCGCATCTGCGGCACATCAACCGCATCTCGGTACCGCATTTGCGGTTAAATCCTCCGCTTCTGCGGAATTCACTTAAGAGCCCAAAATCGCATCTGCGATAAGCCATCCGCACCTGCGACTCCGCAGGTGCGGTCCAAAACCGCATCTGCGGTTCCTGGTAAATACTCAACATTCCGCTTCTACGGCTCCTCTTCCGCACGTGCGGCGCCGCACCTGCGGTCCCCAAACCGCAGGTGCGAAAACACTAGAAGCAGCAATCTCAGCAGCTGCAATAACACCTCAACCTCTCCGTTAACCACCCGAATCACCCCGAGGCCCCTGGGACCTCAACCAAAAGCACAAACATATCCTAACATCTTATTCAATCTTGTTCCAACCATCAAAACACTTCAAACAACATCAAATCAACCAAAACACCTTAGATTCAAGCCTAAGTTTCTAAAAACTTCCGAATTCTGCTTTTGATCGAAAACCCAACCAAACCACGTCCGAATAATCTGAAATGTCACACACACATCCCAAATGACACAACGAAGCTACTGCCACTCTCGGAATTCCATTCCGACCCTTATATCAAAATCTCGCCTACTAACCGGAAATCGCCAAAATCTCAATTTCGCCAATTCAAGCCTAAACCTTCCACGGACTTCCAAAATCCATTTCGGTCACGCTCCTAAGTCCCAATCACCTAACAGAGCTAACCAAATCATAAAAATTCCGATCCGAGATCATATACAAGCAAGTCAAATATTGGTCAAACCTTTCGAATTTCAAGCTCCAAACTGGGAACTGTTCTTCCAAATTCATTCTGATTACCCTAAAAACCTAAATCAACGATTTACATGAGTCGTAATACATCACACGGGGCAAGTCATGCCCGAGAACTGACGAGCAAAGTGCAAAAGCTCAAAACGACCGGTCG